AGACAGAATGTCGAGCGCACCGCAAAAATGGGTGAATCCTTGTGGGCTCGCTGCCGAGACGGTGACCTATGACGGCGATTCTTCGACGGACGTTGTTCAGTTGCAGGATGATCAGCTCTTGCAACAAGTAGTGGTTCAAGCGAAGACGGCGTTGTCGCACGCTAAACTGTTTCGCGACAATTACGTGAGTAATCGAATGTATTATATTTCGCACAATTTCGCATTGTCGTCCTCTTGAAAAATCTTGAGACCACTCACGCAATCAATTTCCGTGCAATATTGGTGGCTCAAACGAGAGATTAAACTTATCAACCGAACTGCTGTTTAGTGTGATTAGCAATTATCAGCGGCTTCGATAATTATTAGTAAGACTTTTAGAAGGGAAATCAGATAGAGTGAGAGAACTTCGAGCGGAAGGCGGTTATAGTAGTATTTCCGGTCGTCCGGACATCGATCGTAGTTCTACGAGGCACACATAAACCTTGGAGAAAGATCTCGATCTTGTGACTTGCACCGCTAATCGAAAACGCGTTCTCACTTCGATCCTTCGGTTTTGTCTGTTGTTTAGAAAAATATTAATGTGAGAATTAGCATAATAGATTAGATTCTAAATTTATAAAATGTTTTCCAAGTCCGATGGAGATTTCAATATAATACATTAAATAAAAAAATATTGATATTATACTGAACAATTTGTAAATTATTTATTCCAGTTATTATTGTTACGAGGAAAGTTGCATTCGAATTCTGGAAGTAGTACATAATCGATCTTACGATAGAAACGTACGACCGCGAGAAATTTTTGTTTCGAAAGAATTCTCCCGACCAATCGTACCTTATTATCTCTAGCCAAGGACAATAAATCACGCACCAGACCCGAGCGGTTCCTCAAGGTTCTTCTCTAGGAGCGATCCAAAAAAAGAGACCGACTTTAAAACCGCAAGGGCAAAGGCGATGTTTCGCATGCGAAATTTTTTTCTCCTTTCATAAGAAGATTATCCGACAGCTTTATGTGCAGTCCAATTGAGAGACGCGGATTCCACTTTTCGTCTTTGCATGTCTCAAAATTATACGGCAGCGTGTAAGAAGAAATTTAGTCTTTTCGAAAAAGCAAGGCAGAAGAGAGCGCCAGTCATTAGCGCTTAAACGGCTGCGCTTTGCGCATAAATAATGGTATCCAGAAATAAACACCCGTGATTGATCGTCGAACAACATCAGTTAGGATCAGACAAAGACCCTTCTTCGCTCGCACAAACGGTGTTTACCTAGGCGAAGCGAGTATATGACCGAGTAAATTAGCATTCGTCGCGTGCACATCGAGAAAGGGTATTTGTGCCTCTCCGCATTATAGGGTCCGTTTCGCCTCGGGGCCCCGCGACCGAAGGCGGCTAGAAAGCGTTCCCGTTACATCATCGCACGGCGGATACCGGATACCGGTGTTTTCCAAGTCAGCGCATAATTCGATATCGTACGGGCCGCGGCTCGGCTCCCTACCCTTGGACGAGGAAAGACAATAAATTGCACACGTATAAACGCCTGACGACATATAACGGACGGCGTGGAGAAGCGGTGAAGTCATAGTTGAGTAAGACGACAGAGAAGAGTCGGGTTCTTCTCGTCGTCGCGAATATAAAGTCGAGCGGCCGAGACTGAGAAACTCGGGAGGAGTTCTCTCCCTCCGCTGATATCGACCCGCGGCGACACACTGTCTGGTGTTTCAGTCACTTCACCTTCTAACATTCGTTATCGGTTCAGCGTAGACTGCCTGCTGAGAGACGAGTAGATTAGCCAGGAATACCGAGAACTACGGAAGTCTCATGACCGATGTATCTCGCGGCGCGAGCGCGAAGAGAAGCCGGCGACGGACTCCCGCGATCTCTCCGCAATCGGAGAATGAATGTTTCACAAAGCTTCCGGGATGATTGAGAATTTTTAAAGCGCAATCGCGGATTTTATCCCGTATTTATCCGCCGCACTTTTTGCTCTTCTTATTTATTGCATCTCGGACCTCCTTTTCCTCATCGCCGTGACGTATGATGCGGTTCATCGTACGTTCTTCCATATCACTCGCGTAAATAACTTATAAGTCGAGTTCTGCGGTTCGCCGCGATCGCGCGCGACGGACGACGCTTGCGTGCACAGACGCCGGCGTACGTGAAGGAATCGGATAAAATATCGGAAGCGGTGGATTCCAATAAATCAGAATCGGAAGCTGCCCCTCTCCACCGCGGATACGCCACACTGACACGCCGCCTGCATACTAAAACTCAGACCGGATATACAACCTGCCAGTGCATGTACTCGCCTCAATACATACGACACATATCTCTTTAGCACGATACACTGCTGCGTGTCGACGTCTATTCGCGTCGCTCCTTCGCGCGATGACATATTTTCCGATCGCGCCGTGACCGCCACAATCGTAAATTCTTAAATCCCACAAGATTGCAAAAAAAATTCACATAACTGTCTCGAGATGAATTCAATACGATTTTTCTGTATGGAAAAAAATCTAACAATCTACCAAAAAGAAAAAAGAAAAAAAAACTAATACGGTGTTAAAAATTATCAATGGAATTTAAAAATCATCGTCAGAATTTCACTGAAATCAAGAAATTCTATCTTCATCTTCGATCGTTTCTCTCTTTTCGCTTCGTTCATGGGACGCGTCAAACTCGCGAGCTGTTCGAAATCGGTCCTCGAAGCCGTCACACCGAAATTTTATAACTTCTAATAAGCGGTGCAGCGCGGTGAAGCCGTGCTAGAAGAACGACTGAAAGGCTAATTGATTTTGACGGGTCCTCAGCAGCGCCACGCGGAGACCATACCTATTCTTGCCATCCGACTTCCTGCCGGCTTCCAGCCTGGTTTTACGATTATTTGAACCCGAGTCGACGAGACTTTTACGAGGCACAAAAGACCCACGTCATAGATTTGCTCGTCGCCAGTGGTTGTTAGCGACTTAGTTAACTTCCCTTCATTCTTTTCTACAAATTTTTATCCTACCTTTTTTGTTCCGCTTTACCTTTTATTTCTTCTCATTTCCGCTGTTGGTATTTTTCACTATTTATTTTCACATCTCAGCGGGAAAACTGAAAATTTACGAGCTTCACAGTGTGAAAAAAATCACCGATGATTTTCAAACTTTGTGACTTTGCAAACCGTTCTTTTGTGTCACGTTAAAACGAAAATTATCGAGGTATCGATTCCCGAATGAGAGCCATCACGTGAATGTAACCAACACATCATAAAACGCAATGATGAAAACGAGTTCTTTTCGGCACCTGAAAGAAAAAAAGGCGGACGCGGGTTTAGCGGCGAATTCTCTACGCATAGGTCTTGTTAATGTATTTATTAAGCAGATTGCTTACACCAAATTATCGTAAAATTTCGTTTAATCACCCATCAAGTATCTCTCGCATTATGCATACCTGTACACTCGGAGAACTCTGCCATAGATATAATTATTGGTATCATTAGCAGAATAACGGCGGATGACGCAATTGGCGGCCGACCACCGTGCGCATTTAATATTTCTCGATACGAAGTGTGATGGGTCGGAAAGATATCTTTGTATCCTCCTAGTGGCTTTCGTAACGATCGGGGCGTGAGAAGGACCGATCATCGATCGGCGCGCGAGTGCCCGCAGGTACACGAGATCGAACATGCCATAACGAGGGAATGGATTTAATGAATGACTACCGCGATGCCGCCTTTCTACGGGCTACCCTCGCGAGCCACGAATTTCCGCCGCCGTCGTGCCTACGAACGTCCGTTCGTTGTCACGTATACTTATTTTCCACAGGCGTACCGCTATTTTCGTTCATCAACCTGCGAGTTTGTAAACTTGTTTTCCCGCCGCGGCATCGTATGCGTTCTAGATAGAGCAGCGACTTCGGGGATATATGATTTATCAAGCCACGCAACACGTGGTTCCTGGCAGTATAGTTCTCAGGAATGTTGTTTGCGATCGAAGGTATTATCGTGCACGCAGGTTGTGAGGGTAGTATCGCGCGATGATTATTTCCATTCCAAACTCGAGATAGTGATGCACGCAATGCGTTATCTGTTGCGCGTTATAAACAATTGCTGCAAGATGCGAGATTGATGACGCTAAATCATCTTTTCGCGCGCAAACATCTCTAGTGAATGCGCATTCACGTGAAATATGAATAACGGAATTTTTATTAACACGGTTGTTTGATCCTTCGTACCATATCGCGATTGTTTGTCATGATAAGAGGGCAACGACCTTACGGCTCATAAGTTCACAGATCTGAAGCGTTCGTTTATTGCGAAGTATATATGCGAAAGTGATATGTAAAGAAATACACGACAATTGAATTACGTAACAGATGATGAAGTATATACATTATTCTATGATAACATTTTGCTAATCGTCTGGAGAATTATTCGTGTCAAGTAGATGCATTAGAATAGTCTGCTATATTAAACCGCATTGCGATATAAAAACTAGAGTGACTCCTATGTTACGCAAACTATAGCACGCGTTTCTGTGGTCTCTATGTCTCTCGGCACTTCCCGACTCGGTGGATGATTCATAATGACTCG